CTAGGCTCGATAACTGACAATTATCCCAAGATATCCGGTTTTGGCCACAAGCGGAATCTGCCACTCAAGGTCTGGCACCCTGAATTTAGGGCCAATCTTCGTGCGGCATATCCATCTTTTCAAGAAGGATGGTGCAGATCGTCCAATGACACGACACAAGGCCACGCTTTTCGTGGTATCGATCCTCAGGCCGTAGGATTTGAGCAAGTTCAAAACAAAGGACAAATCTGTCAGAGCTTGGAATCCATCCTGAGGTGTATGGAGGGTCCATCGAAGATGTACATCGTCTGCAAAAACAATGAGATGGTCATGTAACCATTTCAAATTGAATCTGGCAAGAAGGTCCATCATTATCAAGCTCATACATAGTGTCCAGAGAGTCGGTGCCCCCCTTAAAACCTTGCTGGATCCCTCGATTGGCTTGCAATGATCCAACCAAATCCTTGAAAGGAACAGGAACAAAATACATGCGTGGTGAGAGCCAGGATTGGACCATGTGTACAACCGGATCTGGAATGGACAGACTTTGCAAGGCACGGATCACAACATCACGGCTGATGGAGTCAAATGCCTTCTCCATGTCCAGTGAAATCTGAAGGCCCCCAATCAATGATTGTTTATCAAGGTTGGTATGGCGCATTTGACAAGCATTGCGGATTTGATGACAGTGTTGAGACACCAGGAGAAGACAATCAGTGGTACTACGAGTTGGCAAGTATGCATACAATGGGAGATTTCTCAATTTGGGGAAAGCATGGTGCATGATGTGTTGAGTGAGAATACCCGAAACAACCTCATTGACCGGATGGTGAAGGCATATGGGTCTGAGGGCTTGGGGAGTGTTGCATGGCTTGCCAGGCTTGGTGAGAAGATGCAACCAGCCCGCTGACCAATGGGATGGTGGGAGCCCGACAGCCTTGTAGCTTGGATGGTACGAAAAATTATCGGGGTCAGGTCGAAGGCAAGGGTCTTCCATACCATTGCAGGCAATCCATTTGGAGCCAGTGCTTTGGTGACTGGCAGAGTGCTCAGGCCTTTCATGATGTCCTCTGCATCAATTGCAATCTCGAGTGGCGGACACCTGGGCGGTTCGAAGTCAGGGTCATGAAACAAGTTTCCGAAAAAATAATGTATTCGAATGAGTTCCTGATTAGGTGGCAATGGCTGACCACTAGTGTCATACAACTGGATCTTACGATGTGGTTGCCTGGGACAAAGCTTCCTGATCTGTCTGTACCAATCGAAGGCATTATGTTGAAGACCATAAGGTACACTATCTTGAAGAAATTGCTCAAGACGTTGTTTCTTGTTCTGTCGGCTGGCCTGCTTGATTTGACGATGCAATCTGGCATACAAAGCCAGGCACTTCCAACTGCGAAAAACATCCGGCAAAGTCCTGTGGGAAACGGCCATTGCCTCACGTCTTGCCTGCCACATGCGACTCGATATGGAGAGGCGTGGAGGTTGGTTAGGTCGAATTCCCAGGGTGGGCTTAGGAAAATTTTTAATGCAAAGATTACGAAGGGATTGGTCAAGATCATGACATCGTTCCGGAGAGGGGTGGTGGTGGGTATGGTCAAATTGAGCAATGATCGAACGTGCCTCGGCAATAAAATCAATCCACTGCTGTGATTGGGATACGCAGGCCTGTCGAAGACGGAAGCGATCGATTGGGTTGGGAGTTTGGCGTAGCCGTGGCGTGGGATGCCATCTGGGTAGACAAAGGCCTAATGGTCTGTATTGGGACCCATTGTTCCCAAAATTACGCTCAAACTTATCATTCAAATGAGGACTCATGGAGTTACGTCGGACTTGAGACAGGCGGATGAAAATGAAATCAATGCGTGTGGCATGTGAACCATGAACGAATGTGGCCTGCCAATTGGATTGGCAGTGCATTGCAACAAATTCAAGACGTTCAATCATCTCCTGAAACACGGGCTGGTCACGTTGAGAGGCCGTCGAAGGTTTGGGGTCCCAGCTACCGATAACCGGGGAAAATTTTTGAAGAGGACAATTGAAGTCTCCAGCAAGAATCAAGAGGTGGTGGTTGGGGACATGTTTGACACAATCCTCGAGCGCAGAGAGCCTGAGTGCCCCTGCTGGAACTCCATGAATGTTGGTATATGGCAATTAGATCGTAGGAGTGTTACAAATGGAATCGAGCCTGGATGTAACGTCCAGGGATGTGGACGGCTAAGGATATTCGGTTGGCGGGGACAAGAGTCTTTCGGATCATGATTAAAATTGAAGCGTGTTTTTCGGCGTTATGAGTGAAGTGCCAATGGCTTGAAGTCCATTCCCCTCAAAAACACCGGCCTGTCTCCTGGATTATGAAGCAATTATACGAAATAGCAGTGCACCAATCATGGAACTCATCGTATTGAAGCGTCCGGCTGGCATTCCAATTCATGATCTGCAAGAGGTGATCTTTGGCACTGGCCGCCTGGGGGCCGGTGCGAGGCAGAGAGCAGCCACAATTGGCAGAGTGATTCTGTTGGTATTGCCATGTTTGTCGAATGCGCCAAGGAACCTGGTTTGGATATAGGGGTCGACCCTTGTACATAGAGACTCCATGTGTGAGACTTTGTTTGCACGCTCTAACGAAAGCTCGTTTGAAGTTGGTGACGCGAGATTTGGACTGCGCTAGACCGAGGTCCACCTGAGCCCATACCTCGTGAAACTTTATGGGGTGGGATTAATCGAGATCCATAATCCACCCATTCCAGGTTCCCCAAGAAGTAATAAAACCAATCCTCGCGCCCAAAACGAGCCAAGTGCAAACAACTTCGTGATGAAGAAGCAGGCTCACGTTGCCCGGAATTGGGACCGGGGCTTCCAGCTGTGCCTCAAAAACACATAGAAAGGCAACGCTCCACCAAAACATTCCACTTTCACAGACCGTGGTTACGACTCCTCATGTAGTGAAAAAAAACGGCTACCTAGGATCTAAGCTAGAAATGGCGCTTTATGCGAAACATTCCATAATAATACCCTCAAAATATCGCAATCAAATTATAATATACGTATAAATAACGATAAAAAGGCAATTTTAATCGAAAAACTATCTATTACTCAAAACCTTCTACCTCTATAAATCGTTTACCATTCTTTCAAACCATACGAAAAGATCGTGTAAACCGATATATCCGAGCTAAATACATTACATAACCATAATCAATCATCGCCCAAACTTCAATAACCTTCGTACAAACTTTAATAAACACATACAAAAAAATATACATTTTTATCATTCTATAAAAACATAATAATCTTCACGCCAAAAAATTAACCAATTTAAAATTATCAATAGCAATAAAACTCGATCTATACTCCGGAATTATAACCGAATCTTCCAAGTCATCAAACATTATGATATTAAAAAAACATACTAATCAAAAAACAATATCCATACCAAATCAAAATAGAAATAACACCAATAACAACTACCACATAACTCCCGGCCCTCGTACAACAACTACAACTACATTTAGATTAAAAACAGCGCTCAAATATATTCAATATAATGTTTTTGAAGATATATATATATATATAATAAATATTCAAAAATAAGTATTAGTATTTATTCCCCGAACAGTTCATTGTTAGGGTTCTCAATTCTTTCTTAAGATGTGTCCGCCCTTTGTGTCACTGATGATGTCTGCCCATTTCCACTGGCCATGTAGCATTTCTATTCACTTGTCTCCCAGGTCTGTCACTGTTGGTGTCCGCCCTTTTCCACTGGCCATGCAGCACTTCTATTCATGTGTCTCCCAGGTCCGTCACTGGTGGTGTCCGCCCTTTTCCGCTGGTCGTGTAGCATTTCTATTCATTTGTCTCCCAGGTTGACCGACCGACCGACCGACCGACCGACGGACACACGGACCGACGGACCGACGGACCGACGGACCGACGGACCGACGGACGGACGGACGGACGGACAGACGGACACTGACAGACAGACACTGACAGACAGACACTGACAGACAGACAC